GCTCTGCCTTAGATAGGCCAATAATTTCGGTATTGCAAAATTGTAATTACCGAAGATCATTCTTTCAATCAGACCAATCTGTTATAGTCAAAGCTAGGTAAATTAACTTTTGGCCGAGTAATTTATTCGCCTTGATCGTCAAATGACAACAGTACAAAAACGATTTATTTAAGCAACGCACAACTGGATGACCGACCAGAACCTGTGCGATACTGACGAACCAATTGAGCAAATTTTTGTTGATGAGCCGTTTCCAAACTTGAACCTTCACAATGAGCAGGAGACCGCCTTAGCAAGCTGGTGATATTTTGCTTTAGATAGTCACACAAGAGAACTGAAAGCCTCTTCATCCATACATACAATGAAAGCAACGTCAGCGCAACATGTTACCGCTTTATTATAAGGGAAGGACTAGCGATTGTCGTTTTTCACTGAGGTAGTAATTGGTTGGTATAACATACTTATCACCCTGACAAGCATTTAGACAAAAAAATCAGCTCAAAGTCGTTGCCAAGTAATGCACCAAACAGGGTACAAGACGTCGTTGTTGCTTTGGCAATCTATATTTGGCAAGATCCAACACCGATGCAATCCAAATTTGCCTGAACATTACAAATAGCACCGTACATTGACACAGGCAACGTTCACTGCTGTGGAAAACGAATATGTCTCTTCGCACAATAAAATTTTAAGCGGAGTAGGCTGTTTTTGCACCCAATCTTGCAAGAGCTTTCTAGTGCCCTAACCATTTTTTGCTGCGCTATTTTTCTGGTCTGTAATGCAATTCTGGCCAGATGTATGTCGATTATCTGAAAAAGACCCTGCCATTTGATTGCAAAAATTTGTTGCGTCTGGCATCCCATTTACGTACTGAATTTCTTAAATCAACAAATGCACAGAAATCTCTTCTTACCATTTGACAGACACTAGTTTCGGATTAGTATTTGCGGTATTAAGTATTAGAGGTTTTAGACTATTTTGTAGCCAACAGAAACTTTAAGAGAGTACTTAATGTAAATACGAACCGTTAGACGCAGTATTGTTGCTGAGAGCTGTAAAGACGAGTTTACTCAGTTTTAACTCCGGAATGTGTTCACAGGTATAGACACTAAACAATTGACACTACCGTGTAACACAAGTTACAACAATCACTTGTATCTGCTTCCCAAGATATAAGTGAAAACGAAAGGATAAGACCTGCTAAAAGAAGCAGCAGCAGCAGCACGTCGTTGATCATTCGAAAACGCGCAATTCCAGAAACGGAAACGGTACAGCAACTGTAGTAGTACTGCACTTAATAATAATAGCGAAAACTGACTATACAACAGAACAGCAGTGAAACAAATTAAGCTGTGGCGGTGAGCGACTTAACAACTGGCCAGTTAACGAAATTAACAAACGTCAACACGAGCGGCGCCAAAAGTACAATCAGTGTTTCGCGTATGAGAAAGATTTTAAGCTGCTGTTTTTGCTTCTGCCGGGAAAGCGAGCGGTAGGTAGTACCAGGCGAAGAAAAATTCTAATTTCAGCTTCGCCTGATAGAAAACAGTTCACAGCACCTTACTAACTATCTTTCAAAAAACATAGGTTAGCGACCGACTTCAGCTGACGTTTCAAAAAAGTTACACACCTGAGAGGGTGAATGTGGTAACAGCGGCACCAAAGGGGAATTCTTATCTAGAGAGGAATTAGTCTTCATCAATCTGTACATATTGGAGGTGGACGACGGGCGACGAACACCGTGTTTTCGCCAGCTAAGTCGCCGGGCGATCTCTGATCGACTACTGACGTCCTTCCGAGCAACATTTCTAACGTTCAAGGACGAGAACTCAAACGGACGAAATGTAGACAGACATCCGCTGTCTCCGTTGTGTTTAGAGACAAAGTCCGGGGACAGAAACCTGAAAAGCATACCAAAGTCATCATGTAGATCGACAAACAAGAAACCGCGTACCATTCGGATCGGGTCTGCATCCTGACTATCTGTTTTTCGTGTACCCATTCCAGGAAGCTCAGTGATTTCGTACTTTCAGCGAACTGGTTCATAAGCTGCTGAACGTCTTCAAGTGACACTGCAGCGGGCTATAACCGAAAAAACAGCATCGTTTCATTACACAGCAACAAGTGCAGCGGCCTATGCTTACCAGTTCGCGATGGCAACAGTATTCGTTATTCGCATGGTGTACAGAACAGAGTTCACAGCTCTCGTCGCCTGTGTGGCTACACGATTCTAAAAGCATATGCATTCAACCCCTTCTGCACACTGGCACGACTTGGAATGTTAATTCAAAAGTTAAATTTTAATTAGACGAAGGTGGCATCAGGCACTGTCGAAAGTCAGGTGGTCAAGAGGTAAACAACTGCAGTAACATGAGAAAATTTTATATAGTCTGAAATGACGTTACAACATAAAAACCAAGAGAAAAAACATTCTGTTACAGTACAAACGCGTACAGAGTAGGCGTGTGCATAAGTATCATGCATGGAAATCAATTAGAACTCGGTACTATAACATTTCCACAATCGGTCATCGACGTCATCATAATCGGACGTCGCAGACGCTTCAGAAACTGCGAGATCATTAAGCGAGCACGTCGATCCACGCGTGTAGGTACGCGAAGAACATGCGAACGAACAAACGTCGATATGATCTTGAAGCAGGTAGGCGGACGAACCGCGGCAGAGGCGACGGCTATCGTCGGATTTAATTACAAATATCTCCACATTATACGCTCGACACGAGGCGGCCGTAGCACTTGCACCGGCATTTTGCTGAACAAAGCCTGAACTGTCTGAAACACGGTCGTCATCAAACGCAAGCACATGCAGTATTACGAACGCATTACACCATGCTTGCCTCAAATCACAAAACTTGAAACCTCAACTAACACAAAAAACAGAACGCAAGGCATCAAACATAGAACAATCAACATACAAACAATATGGTTAAGCACAAAAACGAAGCTAGTGCCAAATAAGTACATTAGGCTTTCCAAGAGAAGTAAGATATAGATGGAGTGACAAGAGATCGAAATAACTGTAGTGAAGAATTCTCTCTAATGCTTGGAGGCTATCAAAAATCAGTCCTGAGACTATTTCCTTTCTCGAAGACAGATGTTTACTAAAGATTTGCAGGATGTAACCCCATATGGCATCTTCCGCTCTATGTTCGCACTTAAGTCAGTCTCCAACTTTCCATCTGGGAATAACTCATGCATTGCTACCATGTGATACAGATTTGGCAGAAGCTGTCGTGCGTAATAACGTGATCGAACTAGAGATGGCCGTTGACGTTTTATCTTATCCATTAACGAAACCCATCCCATTACAACTGTTTCTGAATATTTTCCCTGTATGTCCTTTTTTCGAACTATGTTGATGGAATCCTACTAAAAGAAACTGTTCCGCTAAATCCGAACCCTTTCACTTCCTCTGCTGAGGTGTCATATCTTTTCGTATCATACTTCTGAACTAATTTCTGACATAGCCATATCTACGCAGAGTGGTATACATTCTCAATGCCCTCACATTTGTAAAATCACATGCCTTCGAAATCATGGGAGTTGCGTACCGTGCGTACATTTCAAACGCCTATATAATGTTCGATCCCTTTGCCTAAGTTACGTGATAAGGCATTACAAAAAAGACTCTGCTTCCAAGTATTTCTATAACATGCTTTCAGATACGTGCTATTTCTGATCACCTATTAGCCACAGTTGCTGAACTGTTCTTGAATTATGGTATCAAGTAATTATTAGGTTGCAATTTGCTTAAAAAACTAATTTTCTGCTCTTGAAGAATGATGTAATTCCTACACATCTTCAGTTTCAGAAAAATTATTATTCAAAATCATAATTATACTTCCTATACTTCAAATATGTCAGAAAAGCGTCGTCAATTCACCTTGCGCAAGGGTTCACAATAATGAAACTGTACTAAAATATAATAAATGGGTTAAACTGCTTATTCGTCAACAGGAGTACGACTTTATATCTTCAGACTTCAGATGGCATGTTGGACATTTTAACAGTGCTGAGCGCTGTTCACAGTGTGACGGATGTTGTCATTTATTTATTTCCTAATGTCAATATATGAAATTTGCTGCATTTAAAACAACTGACTCGACACACCTGCGTTTTCTATTCAAGATATTCATCTTACTTAATGACCTTAAAGATTTTATCAATGAGAAAAAAAACTACAGAATGCCAACAATTAAATGATAAATTATCAATACAAAGTCAATTATTTCAATCACATTCAAGGAAATGTGATATTGGCGGTATCAACATCCCTCAGCTCGAGCTCAAAACCAAACACTGGGGTGTTGCAGTGCTCTCTTTAAAATCCTAGCTGCTTCTCGCAACGCTGCCTACTGCAATTTATCTGTCTTGATCGCGTGATCAATTTACTCCCGTAGACACTGATAAACTCATATCACTGCTCTGAGGACAGTGAAAATTACAGAAACGAATTACGCCTTTCCTCTACAGATCTTTCACATTTCTATTCTCGATTCTTGATGTTTCAG